CCGCTCCCTCCCTCCCTCTCTCCCTCTCTCCTGGCTGACCTTCGACCCCCCTCCCCCCAGCCCTTGTAAGAAGCTGTAACGAACTCATACGCTCCGCGCGCGGCTCACCCGATCCCCTTCTCCAAATTGAAGATCCCGCCGGTCCGTCGGGATCCCGAGATCTCTCTTGGTCTCAGGGAGCAGGCCCTCCTCTATCCTGCCGACCTCGGCCCGGGGGGACATTGGTTGTAAGAGCGCCCTACTTACATACGAAGGGAAGGGCCAAGTCTCGCAGAGTATCGGAGGAAAAGTCCGGGGAGCGGGGGTCCCCGATGTGGTCGCGTGCAAGATATTCGCGAGGAAATGTTCGCTCGTATTTGCTCTTCGCTGCTATGCGCCCACATTCCGCAAGAAGTACAGTCCGTGCTGCTCCCCGATTACAAAAGAACGTAATATTAAAATAGTACTCCATTCCTGGTCAAATAAGACTGAGTTTGTGAACATCGTGGATCCGAGGGTGGGGAAGGGAGGGAGGGAGGGGGGGAGGGACGGAGGGAGGGACGGAGGGACGGAGGGTTTAGGAGCAGCAGGCAGAACAGGCGGAACACACGCAAAATATTTGTTTTGGGTCCATAATTTGCGGTATGAAATCCTTTCATCTCTCCCCGTCTATGCTCCCCCCTGCTGCTCTGCTCGGAGCGGGCGGCAGCGGGAGGCACGGTCTGGCGTTGCCAGAGCAAATATCTGAGATTCGATTTCCCGCAGAGCAGAGCGCCGGCCCGGCTCCAGCCGCCCAAGAGAGGGTCGGCGGCGGCGCGGGGATTGAAGCTTTGGAATACCGGCAGCAGCTAGCAGCTCCAGGGTCGGTCAAGAGAACCTTTGCTCTTTTCAGTTGTCAACGCTTCCGCCAGTAGGCCAACACTCACACACAGTAACCCCCACACCGTGCGTGAATCATTTTGCAGATGTGCGGCAACTCTTGCACGTTTTCTTTACGAATCCGGCCCATTATTCACTTGCCTATGCAACCGCATGAATGAGACGTCGCAAACATTTCCAAGCAATGTGAATTTAATTCCCTCACGCCACCTACAAGGTTGCAAGGCGTTACGGGACGGGGTATTTCTTTTGGTACCAGCCCTGGATTTCCAGGACGAGCTCTGCAGGCTCCAGGCCACAAGCCGCAGGGCCTGCTGCTGCACCCCCGCCCGTGGAGGCTGCCACCGCTCGCCGCTGCCCACCCCGCCGCCGGCACCGGCCCCGGTCGGGTCCGTCGGGTCGGGGGATGCATAATTGATGAGCACATATTTAAGTTTTCAATGAAACGGCGCGCGAACGATCCGGGGGCGGGGCGGGTCCTTTACGAATTATTGTAGGCGCTTCTCCTCCCCGCTGCTGCTGCGGCTAGCGATTGTAAAGTCCGATTTTTCAACGGAAAACAAAATATGAAACCATCCGCTACAAAAAAAAAAAAATACTTTTTAAAGTAAGGACTTTACAAAAAAGAGATAACATTCGTTGAAAATTAAAAATCTATAGATGTGACTGCATTAGCTGTGTAAGAGCGGACCAGTTTGGAGCAAGGAGTAGATACCGAGCAAGAGCGATCGACGTCAAATGTTCAAGCGCGCCGCTCAACGCTCCACGAAGGACAAGGAGGCAGGGCGAGCGGGGTATGCGTGGCGAGGGGTAAAGGGCAGGGTAGTCGAGCAACGTTCATCAAACTTTCAAGAAGCGATGCTGAATTCCCTCGGATCACGGCGGCCGTATTGGGGTAAATGTACAATATTTACCGCCCCTTCCTCTCCCCCCGTGCCCCCGGGGTCCGTGTGCCCGCCGCCGCCGCCACCGCCGCTTCGGGGCAAAAAGGCTCGACTCCACGCTCACCCCCGATGGGATTTTACTTTCCATACATTATTTGCAAGTTTTTGAGCTGTGTGCGGTGGTGGGTGGACGCGCCCAGGCCCAGCGCCCCCGCGCCCCTCCCGGCTCGGCGCGGCGTTCTGGTCTCGGTGTCCTTGACCAGGGCGGGGAGGAAGGTTGTACCGGAGCCGGGGGACCCCGCGAACGCGCGCGGAGGGGGCAAGGGAGGCGCCCAAGGGTTAGGGAGGGGAGAACAAGCTTTGCTGCGGCTTTGGGACCCGCGCTCCGCGAGGCGAGCGGCGCCGAGCAGCCCAACTCCCTGTTTGTGTTCAAGCCCTTACTCCTTGTTATCCAACAACGTCCTCCCCAGCGCTCCGCCGCCGCTGCCGCCGCCACTAGTGGTGCGGTTTATTTTTTCCCACCCTCTACCCTGCCGTTTTTGACGCCAGCAATTTTTCCCGCGGTCCCCCCCCCCTCCCCATGACGGCCTGCACTGTCGTGTTGACTTCGTCGGCACTGCCGTGATCTCGGTTTCGCGGGGTGGACGTAAACGTGAACGTGAAACGGAAGTGGTAAGACGCCCCCGGTCGGTCACACATGAATGTTGGAGGACACGGCGACCACGACGGGCTCCACGACGGCCGCCCTGGGACCTCGCGTCTAGCCACCGGAAGCGGTCAGCCGCGCTGCGGCCCGAGTCAGATCTGGGTCATATCTGCGGCCACGACCACGACAGGTAGTATGGTGGTCCCCCAAGCGGCCGCCCCCCCCCCCCCCTGCCTCGCGACCGGCGTCACGGGTCGACGAGCTCGCACCCCCTCGTCGTGTCCGCGACAGTCCGCGAGTATGGGAGTCGCCGACAAAAACACGGGTGCTTCGTAGAGAGATAAGTGAGCAGGGGCGAGTTCAAACATTTAGAAAGGAGATTCTTGCCTATCCGTTTACCCGGTACAGTACGTACGCTTTTCCTTGGGATATCCTTAATTAAACGACTCACACATTTTTTTTATGAGGGGGGAGGGGCGGACTTTGCAGTGTAGGCCGACAAGCCCCGGCGTAAACACAGAACAACACTCGACACAACGTTGTTCGATCTCGTCGCGGGCACCAACCACCAGGCGCGAGCACGGTGGTGGTATGGGGGTGCCGCTTCGCTATCCCCCCCGATAAGCGACGAGCACGGCGCAGCCCATAGCCCGGGCACTCTAACTCCACGCGGCAGATGACATCGTCAGTAGGACAGATCAAAGATCAGCGCCACGCCACGCCGCGCCACGCCACGGCTGGAGTGGGCGCCCATCCATATGGCGTGATGCTCTGGTCGAGATGCGTGCCCTCGTTATCCGCGTCGCGTGCCGCGAGCCACGCCACGCCACGCCACGCCACACCACGCTGCGCCACGCCACGCCCCGTTGCGTCCGGATGCACCCCTCAAATATTTATTTTCCGGAGCCACGTGCTTTCGTAATTAGTCCGGATTGGCTAGGCGGCGCGGCCGCGACCTCCCCGAGGAGGAGGAGGGCCGTATGGCGCGGATGATTGATTCCCTCGTCGTGAGCATCGTCATCATCCTGTATATTATAGTTTCTGGTCAAAGTTAGTTATTTATTATCGTTGTCGCCGCTGTTGTCCGTCGTATCGAGATTGCTCTGTTTTTGTCACTTTAAAGCCAGAACCGGCTAGACCGCGACCCGCAGACCGCAGCAAACATAAGTTTCTATTATAGAATCATCCTCCACCCCCACCCCTCTCCTTTTATCTCGCTGGTGGACATAAAAGATTAGCTATGTAACTAAGCCAATTAGCTAAATAAGGGACGACTAATTATTTAGCTATGTAGCTAAAAATCTAGCTATTGCTAAAAGTAATTAAATAGTTAAATAAAATAAATAATAAATCTAACTAAAAGAATCTAGGTACGTAGCTGAAAAATCTAGCATGTAGCTAAAAATAATCAAGTTTTTGTAGCAATTTTATTTAACTAGATAGCTAATCTCTTTTTCCCGTGCTCCCCCGCGCTGGACGAGATGCGCGTGTTTTCTGCCCGGCTGGCTTATCGTCGCCCCGGATCGCGCTGCCCCGGCCCTGCCCCGGCCCGGCCCGTCGAGAGGGTGCAGCAGGTAGGATAGAGAGAAGGCCGCGCCATCTGACGCTCTCCCGCCCGCTCCATCCCTGCTGCCTGCTGTCCTTACGCCACATTACCTCCCGTCGCGTCATGTTGTGAGTCACCGATAGCTATAGATATATAGAGCGGCTGCTGCTGCCCCCCTGCCGCTCATGTCACTCGCGCACACACGAGATGGAGAGGGTGTGTGAGAGAGAGAGAAGCCAGGAATGTAGAGGTCATAGAAAGATGGTGAGAGGGGTAGGGAGAGAGCAGTAGGCGTGCGAGGAGAGAGAGGGAGAGGGAGAGAGGGAGAGGGAGGGAGGGAGGGAGGGAGAGAGAGAGAGAGAGAGAGAGAGAGAGAGAGAGAGAGAGAGAGAGAGAGAGAGAGAGAGAGAGAGAGAGAGAGAGAGAGAGAGAGGACTCGGAGCAGGGTAGAGGTGATGTGCGGGCCATAATGTGGCTGAGCTGATTCGTGACGGCGGGACGCGTACGCTCCGCCGTCTCATTAGCTGGGCGTGGCGCAGGGCGCGGCGCGGGCACCTGGTGGCGTGGCGGCGCGGGGCGTGGGGGTGCGGCGGCGCCAGGCCCGGCAGCCAGCGTCCCGCGAGGCGCCTGCCTCTCCGATGACGAGTCGCTATGGGCGTGGCAGGGCGTGGCGGGGCGCGGCGGCATGACACGGAGTAGCGTGCCCAGTCGTCATGCCTCACTATAGGGAGCTCGTGTGCGACCGAGAGGGGCGAGCTTTGCCGGCCGAGGCGAGGACACCGCGCGGCGCAACCGCGGGACACCCCCGAGGAACACCGCGGGACACCGCGGTGCGGCTGCCCGAGCAGGATGTGGAGGTCACAGTAGGGACTTCCCTTCCTCCTTTTCTCTCTCCATCCATCCCTCCTTCCCTCCCTCCCT